GAAAGACCACACCCTCCATTCCTACAAATATGGACAGGTCTCACAACCTCCATAGTTCGCTCAATACATTTTTTTTTTTCCTAAAATACATGAAAACAGCAGCTTTTTCACTCCGCTCGAAGCCATGACTATTGTGAAACTATTATTCACCTCAATCAGAGAACCAACATGTCATGATTTGAGAAAATTATACATTGTGTATCCTATTATACAGTATATGTTATTTTGCTACTCAATCTTTGACCGAGGAAGTTTCTCACAAGAACAGGTTTTCTCAATCAAAATGAATTAATCTGAATTGTGCTTCACCCTGAAGGAGTAGAATACTGTATGGGCCTATTATATGTGCAGCTCCAGACTCCATAAATCACTGAATGCCTGAGCACTCTTTGAATACTCGTTATTATGACGCCATAATATTAACCGCTCATGGCTTGTTTCCTTGAGTGTGAAAACTTTTCCTTGGTGGTGTTTTTTCCCCCTTTGTGTCCTCACGGTTCACCTGTTTCTGAAAAGAAGGCCTTGAAAATAATGAACCAGTGACTTATCCACAGAGAACAGCCAATTCAGTCTCTACAATTGCAGCCAAACTAACAAAGGATATCCTTGGACTTGTGTTCATGCGAGCGCTTTATGCTTTAAAACCCCAACAATGGACAATATTAAATAAAAACGGAGCACAATGACATTTTCACTATGTTATTTGTCAAAAGAGCAACACTTCTATGCTTTGAAGTTTTCCTTCCTATAACTGCTGCAAGAGGGTTCACTGAAGGTTCTTAGCAAATCTGACAATGATGAAAGAGATGTTTCTTCAAAGAGGATGAAAAAGTTTGATAATACACGTTTTAGCTATACTGTAGGTGCTCACTTGCAAAATGTATGTTTGCGTATTTTGTCTATATCTATATATGTTTTTACATACATGCCATTTTTGTGTTTTAATATCGGCCATAAGATTGATGACTACAGTAATTACTTTGACGTCAAATTGTTCCATATCTGATGGTGGTGAAATAACATTATGCAAAAAATATCAAATATGTATTATAACCACAATATCATGGCAATGGTAAAAGACATTTTACAAAAGTGTACTATTTTTTGTTATACAAGGCAAAAAATAGCTCTGTTTTGTTCTGATTATGTAAGGATTTGTCATGGTGTAATGAGTTTGAAAACAGAGTCGTTAAGCAGAAGGGGTGGGGAGGATATATCTGTGCTGGGCTGTGTCAGAGGTTCCTGATATTAGCAGAGATAATCAAGCAAAAAATAAGGAATTTACTGAATGAGGAACATTGTTGGCCATGAAATACCTCTATTAACAGTCAATAAATGGAAATGCGTTCAAGAGGTTTAGCATGTTCTGCGAAAGGTAAACAGCAGTAACCTTAAACCTTTTGAGTAACAGATTTGAATCAAACAGTGGTTTCTTTGTTCTGGTGGCTGACCCGTGTGAGACACAGAGTAAAGGTCTGGAGCACTGCCAACCTGCTGTACGGGATATAATGAGCCTCAGGGGTGTTTTTGGGCCTGATTCCTTCATTCTCCTCCTTCATGACTAATTCACAAGAGTCTGATCTGCTTTGGCCCGGAGAGCGCTGGGAGGAGCTGCACTGTTCTTCAAATGGTTTAAGTGCCCCATCACTTTGTTTGCGGGGCATTTTGATGTTGAAAAATACATAAATTATTCATATCTTGCTTTACTTTATTTTTGGAAAATCAATTACAGTTCTCTCAGAGAGAATTTTAAAATCATGACCTGGTTACTTTATTGTATTTGTGTGTTTAATGTGTGTGTGTGTGATCTTTTTGTATCAAAGGTATTGTATCTTTTTCACTGTTGCAGATGTAACATGCCAGATACCCTTCCAGCTATACACAGACCACACCGAGATTTCGCCGATACTTTGCAAGCAGATTTTATGGAAATTCTTTGGGTCCTGCTTTGCATTTTAATTCTGATCAAAGCATAACATAGAGAACACATTTTGAGAAGCGAGTGGCTGGCAAAGAAAGATTGCTAAAGGACTTTTTTTGTTGTTGAAGTATTCTGCCGTCTGCTTTCGGGGAAGGCAACGTTGTGCCTAAGAATGTGTGCATAGGTGTGCAGGGCCGGATCTGCTTTCCAACTCGATAGACACACTCTGTCACCACTGGCAAGTAATTGACAGCTTAGAGTTCGCAGTGACACAGGCCTTGCATATATTCCCTGCATCGGTGTATTTGTGTGTACGGAGTTTTCCCTCGTGGTGCATTCAGAAGTCAGCTCACACGGCGGGGGATTAAACAAACACTTCCAATTCAGACTCATGGAGAGGCATGATAAACTGTAGGCCGTGCGACAGGCAAATAAGGGAGTCCAATTTCTTAGCACTGATTAGGTCTTTAACGATCGCTCTACACTACTCCAAATTGCTGTCGTTTTTTACTCATACGTTTTTTTTCGACCGACCAACTAAATCAGGAATGCTTTACTTTCATTACGTGCTCAGAGTATGTAGTGAAGGTTTTGCCTTACCTAATGTTGGGTTGATGGAGTAGCTCATTGATCTAATTTAGGAATGGGTTGTTGGGTTGTTTAAGATATTGAATGGTTTTACTGCCATTAACCAAATTCAAAAACTTAACATTCTTGGTTGAATAGTGGACAATGGCTTAAGTAGTAACTCAGACTAACTTATAAAGAAGATGTATCATGCACAGACCTGGACTCCTGTCTCAGTACTGTTATAGGATCATTATAACGTTATCATTGTACTACTATGACATCATGCTCCATGCTCAGAGCAGTTTTTCGTAGTGGTGTAGTTAATTTCTCAAGTGAAATCAATCTATTTACAATTGAGTACAAATGTTTGCTGCCACTAATTTCAAACAAATTCAACTCCTCCCTCTGTTAGTATAGGCAGCTACAAGCAGAATTAAATGGGTTTCCTTTGTACTTGTTTCACCGTATATTCTCCAGATATAATGCAACATTTAAAATTTGCATTATTTTTATGGGTCTAAAATTGTAAATCTATTTCTTTAAGTAGCAACCTGGATTAACCTCCATGGTTTGTATTGAACCTTAACCTAGACCACCTGTTGACCTTCTGTTCTAGCAACTGCATTTATACAGTATACATTCATCATCAATCACTACTTCTGTGAATCTTTTTTTTAGTCCAGTCTTGTTTTGAACAGTGGTTGTTTTTTCCATGATTTTATTGTAATGAATTTTAGACTTGAGAGATCTGGCGGAGGAGCACAATGGTGAGAGACAGACATTAACATCTACTTTGATGGCTTTAGGGATTGTAATGGCACCAGACCTCTTTGCTCTGTGTATAATTTGCTCATATCCATTTGTAAAAAGGGGGTCTGGCAGACTGAGAAATGTTATGCTGCAATTTGTCCTCCCCTTCTTCTCTGCTCTGCCATCTCCCTCTACAAATCGTTAGTTTCACTTTTCATTAGACTCAATCGATAAGGTGGATCAGTCACTCGTGGTGAGGAAATTGCGTGACAGACAACTTTCTCTGTACAGTTGGTATCCTTGTATCCTCTTTGGCACCATTGACTTGAGATTTCAAAGAAGACACTCTCTTCATGAAAAACCATTGAGGCACATACGTTTACAAAAGCATCCACCTTCACTGAAGCTTTGAGTGGGTCCACCTCTTCAAAGTTTTGACCTGTAACTTGGTAATCCCCTCTCAAGCTTGTGACATTCAATTCAGTTCAATTGAATTCAGTGAATCACAACACAACACTTGAGCCAAACCACACAAATATGATGTGCCTTGAGATGTTAAAGGGTTAACGTAGATAGATATACTTCAGCAAACGAAACCAGACCATCATGTAATCTCCATCCATCCATTTTCTTCTCCTTAATCCATTTCTGGGTTGGGGGGGTGGCAGTCAGAGCTACACCCAGTACACTTAGCACCAGCCCCTCACTGATCATGCCCAAGGACACAACGACAGCAGACATCAGTGAGAGTCGTGATGTAGGTCTTGTGGTGGGCTCGAACCCACAACCTTCAGGCTCAAAGGCCAATGCTCTAACAACTGAGCTACTGCCACCCCCTACATCATCTAATCTATAGTTATAATTATTAGTATGTGTATTATGTATTTATTTAATGAAGGCTGCTGTGAGCAAAAAATTGCCTGTTAGGGAAATGGGACATTCCCTTATTGTCATTAATCAAGAAAATGATCTTGTGTAGTGAATTGTATAATCTCAAATAAAACTCGACACAAAGTTACATGTCTTAACACTGAATTAACATCCAAACACAGTATGTAATTTTTTTGGAGGCCATTCTGCTTAAACGCTCAGTTATCTCTGCGCTCTCTCAAATGGGAATTAAATGTGGCAACAGAGGTGAAGAAGATTAACATTTGTGTGCGAGTTAATTTTGTCAGAGTATAACTGGAGTTATTTGAGGGAGACATGAGCCAAGAGAGAGGAGGGGTTTGCGCTTGTTTAAAAGTGTAGAAGTAGTGTGTATGTGTGTGAATGTGTGTCCTTTCTCTGCTATTTTTCTAAAGATTAAGGCACAAGGCAAAGTGTCTCTATTGTCTCTGACTGTTTTTGTATGGCTCTCCTCTATAAATGTTTTATCTTTATGCTGTATGTCTAAAAAATTTGAAAGATTGTTTGTACAAGCGAGTCCAGTTGCATGACCAGACACATGCAACTGGTCACAGTTACTGATGTAACCGTGGTAATGTTACTGATGTCACCATGACCATCTACTATTGATGGCTGAGTGCGGAATTGAAGGGTGGTCAAGAATGTTCCAAAATATGTAGAAATATATTTAGAAATATTTCAGCAATTATTGCTGAAATAAATCTCAGTATGGCTTTATACTTCATCCATTAAGCATTATTTTGATTTTGATTATTTTGATGTTTTTTTTCTTTACAAACAGATCACAGTTATGAGTTGTGCTCTATTGTATAATCATGGGCTATGTAATAATATGTGACATGTCTCTTACCCAGCACAGTGAGGCGGGCCGGACGGGACCTCATAGCCGCTTGCACCGCCTGACATTCAAACACTGCGTCGTCCATAAGCTCCACACGCTGGATGCGAAGATGGTGTTCTCCTGAACCATGGTCCCCGATCACTGTGTAGCGAGGATATCCTGCAAAGAACATAAACTCATAATTCAACGCAACAGAAGTATCAAAGTTTACACATCCAATAAGAACACATACAGGCAACACAAACATGTCTTGGGAAAACATTGTTTTGATGTGTAACTGCTTGGATAGACTAAATAGTTTACAGAAAATCTAAGTAATTTAAGCTTTCTTTGATGTGACTTTACTTTCTGTTTGGAAATGATGACATCACACCAAGGATGTTATCGAGAAACCTAATGTACATTGGTCCAGAGCTCCTTATGCAGCCAGAAATAAATTATTGCCAAATTAAAAATAAATAAAGTTGAATGTTATTTTTATTTTTATTTTTTATTTTTCTATGTAACTTGGAACAATTTAAGTTGAAGTTCATCAAATATTGTGCCTAACACTAAAATCAAAATGTTTCAAAATGTAAGACATCCTTGTATTGATCCCAATCATCTACTCTAAAAAAGTAGATGATATGTAAAAAAGCTTCTAATAGATAGCATTAAATTGTGTGTGATCTACTGAAAAACATTTGTCCCCATAGAAACAATACAATACAATACAATGTATTCTTATATAGCCCTAAATCACAACAAAAGTCATGTCAGAGGACTTAACAAAACCATTGAAATCACCAACACAGATCAGAGAATCATTGTATTGTATCAATGCATTGGCAAGGAAAAACTCAACTCATAGATCAATCAGACTGTGTAATTTATTTGTTTGTAGTTTAATGTTGTTTGTGATGTCGCTGTCTTTTTTGGACCTTGAGTCCGTAATAAAGTTGAATTGAATTGAATTGAATACAGTTTGTCCAAGTCCCTGTAAATGCTAACATATCTCTGTTCAAACTGGGTCGTTTTTAGTGTAAAACTGGTATTTGTTATTTAAAACTGGCGTAATTTGGGCCCAAAAAAAGTCATTACCAGAAACTCATAAAACAAGTCAATGAATACATTTGATTTTACATGTTTATTGAATAAAAGAGGTAAACTTCGCACATCTCTTCTCTGACAGGTGCGTAGGAGTGGGCGCGCACTAGGTGGCCAAACATGAAGGAAAGGATGACACCCGCACACTGTCCAACTTGCAAACACCAGTGGTTTATTAGCAACGTTTCGGCCACAGGCCTTCCTCAGGCAAACATTTTTTTTGAGGAAGGCCTGTGGCCGAAACGTTGCTAATAAACCACTGGTGTTTGCAAGTTGGACAGTGTGCGGGTGTCATCCTTTCCTACATGTTTATTGAATAAAATCTGTTTGTTCTGTACTTCCATTTCTCCTCCCATACAGTATATTGTGGATTAAAAATGTTAATGGATCGCAGGTGAGGTGTGTGGAGTGCGCCATAAACATAAACAGTTATAGATGCTCCTCGGCCAAATGATTTATCGTTTAATAATGCAACAAAACAGAGCGATAGCCAACAGACCTGGGCATTTCACACACAAGAGCAGATAGATGTTTTTTTAAAGATCCCCACAACTATTACTGGAATATGCAACAAGAACGTGTTCGGCCTGCGCTCCTCTACAGGGGCCCATCACCGCCGAGAGGAATGGCTTGACGGGCAGGTTTTATGACTTTGCATCTCAGACCGGAGGATTGCTTACGAATAAGACTAGCTTTTATATTTCAAACCATAACAACACTGAACACAGTTGGACATGAAATGCACGCATGAAAAAACAAATATTTTGGATGTAATGTTGTGGATATGACAGGACTTGGAAAACAAAAAAATAAAACATAAACATAGATATTTTTTCTAAACTTGTTGAAAATTAGGTCGCCCATATCTCACTTTGAACTTCTCTATTTAGCAGCAATGTTTAGTTCAATTATCAAGTATTGTGACTGATCTTTTTTTTTTTTTTCTTAAACATTATCTTGAAACTTGCCAAATACATCCTCTGTTTTCTGTAAAGCCACATAATGTCAATGGAAAAGGATTGAGTTTAAATAATGACAGCAAAACCCTACATTGTGGGATAAACAAAGACTGGATTTGGACAATATACGGTAATGAAACAATTGTGCCGGTAAAATCATTCATTAATGACACTCATAACCATTAACTAAAAGGGTTTTCCGCTTTGTGAAGCCTAGAAAAAAGGATTTAATCCAAGGTTACTCCTGAAGCTATTTTGGTTCAATTTTCTGTTCATTGATGAGATCTAAAGCATTACAGCCATAGACAATTATGGGGCAACGATGATGGAACTTTGGATAGGATAAAAGGTGACCTTGGTTTGACTCTGGTTTCAACAGTTTTACAGAGTGCCTTTTGTATTGCACTGCTAACGCAATTTACTTTTTAATAAGCTTTTGTTTTGCTTCTCCTAATTGCAGCAGCACATAAACCATGTAAATTCTGTAACACAAACAGATGATGTGGCCAATTACCTCATCTGCCTCCGGCAAACTAAGAATAATTTTGCTGTGCGAGGAAATGGCGCTGTTCCAGTTTCATCTCTGAGCAATTGTTGGATGCAAAAGGAAGTCATTTGCATTTCGAGCTGATAGTAAATGATAGGGATTTATAAAGTCATTTCCCAAGCATATAAACATCATAATGTGTTTATGCTATCTTATAACAGTCTTGTGCATGGGTTTTACCAATATGACCAAATTTGAGCTGTCAGACATGAAGACTGATCACCTTCTGTCATGTGACGCGTGCTCATAAAGGCTCATTGATCTCATTGATCTCAGACATCAGCACATTCCAAAGACACAATGTGTTACTCAAAGCAAACAATGTAAAATAGGCCCATTAAGGAGTAATGAATCCATCAGAGGGGAATGGATTTGTCTTCAGGCTGGATCAATGTACGCGGAGATGTGTGTGTGTGTGGAGGCATGCAGACACTTATTGCCCATCTTGTGATTTATAGCTTTCACCTAGAATATGTTTCACACTCTGCAACCACCAGGGGTTACCAAAGGTGAGTAGGAATCACAATCCTCAATGAGATTATATACACTTGGGGCGTTACTGCTCTTCCTGACTCGGCCCCAATGCGCACTATAGATTTAATTCTGTTTACTTCACTTACGGCTCTTTTCTATTCCCACACACTGCTCGTCATTCACACAAACATTGCATCATGGGCAACGTGAGAACAGAATCACATATAGTTCCAGAAGTTTGTCCCGAGACACTGGCTCACATTTTTTCTCTTTCCACAGGGCATCAAAAGGACCAAGTGAATATTTCAGAACAAAAACATTTGTACCTCTTTCTCATAGAGGTAGTAGGCTAATGGCAGAGTAGTATAATGCTTTATACCTAGAAATATCTAATATGTGGTGTTAGCCATAAAGAAAATTGGCTCTTCACTTTTTTGTGAATTGGAATGTCTTTATGTTCATAATGTGCCTCTATACACACACCATGTATACTCAGGGAATTGAATCAGGTGTTGTCGGGATACTTTGCCTTCTTTAATTAGAGGAAGAATGCAGCACAAAAGGAAATGAGTAGAATATTCAGGGGCAGATAGAAATCATGAGCTTTTGTGTTGTGATTTCTTGTGAATGGTGAATGGTGAAAGAGTCTCTGGGTTTAATCACTGTAGGCTGAATGGGAAGAGGTCGCTACGCAGTGCGCTGCTGCAGACGCAGCTTCTTGCTATGAATAGCTGAGCAGACCTATATTATTGAAAAGCTCCGAGCAACATTTGATTTGTCAGACTTTTCATGTATACAGCTGCCACTTTCCTTTTCTTTGTGTACATCTTGTGCTGGATGTACCATCACACCGTTTACTGCCGTATGCGGGCCTTGATTATGTAGACTGTGATAAAAAGGACAGCTGTGGAGCGTTTCATTTTGAAACTGTCATCTGTCTCTCTGCAAGAGAGCACAGTTCCTGTCCGTATTTATGGATTTTCAGAAACTCATCTTGACATTTCCTCATTTACCTTCTGTAAACTCACTGTATTAAGTTTTTGTTAGTATATTCATTATTCTATTACATATTCTATTCATGTATACTGATCAGCAAATTGTCATGTTTATAGTTATTAGTTCAGGCCATTAAGGCCAACCTTCACTGTAGTCTGAGTTTTAACGGTAAAGGCAGAAGTTCAAATCAGAACAGAAATCTTTACTCCTCTTTGACCTAATATAAAATAGATGTGCTCCCTTTACCTCTGCCTGTTCTATCTCTCACAATCATAACTGTGCAGAGACGTGTGGACCATTGTTTACTAAGCCCTGTGCTCTCCCCTGGGCCTGATAAGGACCTGCACACTGAATGGGATGGCTTTACTGGCTCCGCCGCTCGCACTGCTTTAATTACACACCCCATCAGCAACAGCAAAGGCCTCCGTGAGAATTGGTTTAAGGTCAAGGAGCAGCAGACCCTCTATTTCTCTTAGAATATAAATGCAATCACTTGAGATCATAAGATTCACAAGTCACTGCTTGTGGCTATAAAGTATGTGTGTAACTTTAACACTAATCCTGATGCATTATCCGTCAAGAACATTGCATTGCTTTGAGTATGAATAGTGCTATACAAATAAATCGCCTAGCTTTATTCAAATTCAGCAAAAATACAAACATTCAAAACTGTAAAGGTTAGAACATTGGGTTATCATATCCAATTGAAAAGGTCCAATATCCTTGTCCTCAAGAGGTAAGCGAGTCATATCATTGCATTTGTAAGATCCACAGATCGTGGATGACATTAATAATTTTCAGACAATAATAAGTTGAATGCAAATGTGTCCGAGGCTCTGGCTTAATTGTTGCGCTCATATGTGGTGGAGAAGTGGGTAGAATGGAAGGTGATTCAGCCTGGAGGTGGGTGTGCAGGGGTCATTGCAAACACTGAACAACGAATCATTAATTGCTGTAGAACTTTCATTTTTATCTTAGCCTATTAGTAAGAAACTGGAAAAACCTGCTTATTGAAGTATGGATGTTGGGTGAGCAACTTTCCTTGTTTTGTTTTGAATAATACCTGTACGACTGAGTGATTACACAAACCTATCAGT